ATAACATCATCAAGTCTTTATTCTACTACAGGGTCTTGTTAAGGAACTTTTATTTGGTCTGGTGACCTGACGTAGCTCTACGTTCGGTCAACACTAATATAGCGCCACGTAGCAGGCACAATACCGCGGACCCGACCCGATCGATGAATAGTGGGTATGCCGCACATGCGTATTTTAAATCCATGACGACCCGGTATTGCTAGGTATTATTTGATATTGCTAGGTATTGGTCAATTTTGCTCGGCAATAACGAGAAATATCATTATGTGAAGATCAATACCCAGCAATACCGAGTAATACTGAGTTTTTCTAGGTATTGCTCGGTATTGGTCTTCACAGAGCTGTATTTCTCGTTATTGCCAAGCAATACCTAGAAATACGTGAACATAGCAATCCCGGGTTCTAGTCCGGGTCAAGTCGTCGGGCCGCGCGGTAAAGAGAAATACAGCTTTGTGAAGACCAATACCGAGCAACACCTAGCAATACACGAACATAGCAATCCCGGGTTCCAGTCCAGGTCAAGTTGTCGGGCCGCGCGGTAAAGAGTAAGAGCACATGACGACATGTTATTGGCGTCCGAACGTAGAGCTACGTCAGGTCACTTGACCTAATAATAGTCAATTTTTCATTTAAATCTAATAAAGAAATATCATTTATGATACTTTTAATCAAGTCTTTTTAAGTCTCCTCTACCTTTCTTAACATAATCAAAATCTAATACATCCACTTTCTTAACCTCCCATCAAACAAAATTAAATTTTCTCAACATGATGGGTAAATCTATAAAAGATTTTTATCAACAGGATCTTCACATCTATTTCCTGCACAGTGTTTCTTATGTTTTATTATTCTTAAATGTAATTAGCACGTCCTTGTGACTATTCCTCGACAAATACATATCTTAATTATAATAATGAGCTCAATTATTCAAATCTGTTGAAAAGTTAGCACGTCATCGCAGTGCTGCTGTTCAGTGAGTTTGAAGGACCGTTAATGGCTTATTTTTCAGAAAAGGAAATTATAATATTTCCAAAAGTACCCTCCTCAAGGAGCACCGGCAGCCACATGTGAGCTGCTGCCTTCTCTGCCACTAGTAGTCCAAGGAGATAGCGAGAGGATCTTTCTAATGGTCCAGAAGTTTTTAAATAAGCTATTTTCTATTGTACAGCTTATCCAAAAGCCAACTTGCGCTCCTTCAGAATTTTTGCCTACCACGTGTTGTCCATTCTCTGCACCCCGTATTAGAAAAATACATAAATAAAAGCTTCTTCTAGGTGATAAGGTCACATTCGGCATATATTTAATGTAAAAGATGCTAGTAAAAAAATAATAATAATAAGATTTTTATTTTTTTTTGGGACATTTAGGCCATTTAAGGCAAACTCACACACACAACGCATACACAGAGACTCAAACCTTAGACTTCTTAGTTGGAAGCCTTAGCTCTCAACCAATAGGTCAAAGAGAGTTGTGTATAAGATCTTATATTTACAAATATATTCATTTATTTATATTTGTAAGTATATTCATTTGTTATGTTAACAAATAACAAGTAGTTTGTTGAGGGTTTGGTTGATAAAATATGTGTTTAATATTGGTTTAATTATTATTTTATGTTATTGATTTTTTTAATTATTTTGTTCATTGTGAAAATTCTTTATTTATAGAAGTATAATAATGATAATAAAATAAGTAAATGGCTATAGAGTGATTATAAAAGCTTATTTTATTTTTTAAATATTTGTTAGTGAAAATATTGTAAAAATTGTAGATGAATATCTTAAAAGCTAATTTTATTTTGTTGTTATTTAAAATAAAGTTGATTGAATTATATTAATTATTATTTAAAAATGAGTATATTTATGATCAATGATATGACTATATGCCATGTATAAAGTTTTTATGGATGGAATGGATTAGTTTGAACATGTATATATTGATATATGTTTTCTAGCATGACAGAGATTCATCGAGGGTTCAATAATTTATAATTATGGACATGCATTGCTTCTATAATAAGTTGACATGATTGTATGTATGAGTGGAAGTGAGGCCCTCATACTTGATATGACTATTTAGGAATTTTTTTTAATCTATGGAGATTCAAAGTAGGTTTTACTAAATAGGTAGAAAGGAAATGGGGTTAAGGAACTATACAAAGGTTTGAGTTATGTACAAGAGAAGCAATTCTAGAGAGTAGAGCTACTAATGAAGTGGGAAAATCCTCTAATGGAGATTAGGAGAATTATTATAAGGGTTAAGGGAGGTAATTTAAGCCAAATTGTTTTGCTTACTAAAAAATTTAAGTTGTTAGTAGAGTTTGGATTTGCATGTGAATTCAAAATACTATACAAGTTATAATTCTCAACAAGAAAAGTTTTCAATGGCTCAGCTTTAAAGGGTATGAGATGATTGTTGATTATACCTAGCAACATTTACTTTAATCAGTGTATATGTGTCAAGGAATGGCCTTAGATTTAAGTTACCTGGGAGCAAACCTCGTAGATGATTCGAATGTGCCATTATTTACCTACAATGAAAGTAGATTGAGGGTGATCTCATTCATGAAGTCAAGATAATAACAAATAGATTAGGGTTCCAACTATGAGATCTTTGGTATGGGTTGGGGCCAACTATATGCATGTATGCTTTTGATTTAGTATTCGAAGTTAACTCATTCATAAATGAATTATGAATGGACAATGTCCATGTATCCATTCTAGATGGCCTATAAAGATTTATAGTAGTAGTGTTTGTCATTGGATTCTATGGATCAATATGGGCTTCACCACAAAGATAGGATAGCGTGAGTAGTTCAAACGAATAATTGATTTAGCCATGTTTCATTTATTTTAGTTAGGGGATAGCTCTCAGGGAGTGACCTTGGATTTGAGTGATCACGTTATAGTGAAAAGGAAAACCAAATGTTTTCAAAGATTGATTATAACTCAAACTTAATAAGAAAACTAATAAATAAATTAATTTATGATAGTGAAATTAGAATTATGTTAAAGCTTGACATGAAGTTGATAAAACACCACCTGTAAGGAAACAGGATACAGAACAAGTATTGTCTCGACAGTAAGTCAGAGAAATAGTTTCAAAATTTATCTAAATCTGCTTTAGCTATCGTCCGGAGTGTTTTTATAATAACACCCGGGAAAGAACAAGAATACAATTCAAAAGAAGCTATACAGCCGGCAATATCAACAGCTACATAATAGAGAAGAAAAACAAAACAAGAATACAACGATATCTATTTATAAGACACTCCTGTGTCATTCTCCCGGGGTGGGAAGAACGTCCAGATCATAGTGAGGCGTCAAGTCGGCGACATTGAAGGTGGCAGAAATCTGGTAATCACCGGGAAGATCTATCTGATACGCGTTGTTGTTGATCTTCTTGATTACACGAAAAGGGCCATCAGCTTTGTGTTTTAGCTTAGAAAAAGCTCCAGGAGGAAATCTTTCTTTTCGGAGCCTAATCCATACAAGATCCCCCTCTTTAAACTCAATAGAGCGTCGAGACTTATTTGCTTGCTTCTGACATTTTTCATTGTGTTTTTCTATTGTGTCTTGAACATGTTTATGCAATTGCTGAATTTCCATGCTTCGTTGTTCTGCATCAGTGCTGAAAGCAGCCCTTTGCACAATGGGAACCAGGTCCAGTGGTGTCACCGGGTTATACCCATAAGCAACTTCGAACGGACTTCTTTTGGTTGCTTGATTAACAGACCGGTTGAATGCAAATTCAACGTGAGCCAATATAAGATCCCACAGTTTAATATTTTTCCCCACAAAACATCGTAGAAGATTGCCCAAACTCCGGTTCACTGTTTCAGTTTGGCCATCAGTTTGGGGATGAGCCGCCGAACTAAATTGCAATCGGGTGCCGAATTTTTCCCACAAGGTCCTCCAAAAGTGACTTAAGAACTTGACGTCTCGATCAGATGTAATTGTCTTGGGTATTCCGTGAAGACGGACAACCTCCTTGAAGAATAAATCAGCTACATGGGTGGCATCCAACGTCTTATTGCATGGAACAAAATGGACCATTTTGAAGAAACGATCCACAACCACCATGATAGAGTCTTTGTTCCTTTGGGTACGGGGTAGGCCAACAACGAAATCAATGCTGATGTCCACCCATGGTGAGCTTGGCACAGGAAGCGACGTATACAAGCCGGCATTGGTGATAGTAGTCTTTGCTCTTTTACAGACTTGGCAATTTTGTACAAACCGTCCAACATGCTTCTGGAGGGATGGCCAAAAAAAATTTTCACACAGCAACTCTATGGTCTTCTCTCGCCCAAAATGGCCTGCCAAACTTCCTTCGTGGCTTTCTGAAATGAGCGTCAAACGGAGAGAACAATTTGGAATGCACAGACGTTGTTTAAAGAAAAGATATCCATCTTTGATGTAAAATAGCTTGAAAGGACCTTGAAGGCATTGTTGCCAAATGTTCCCAAAATCAGTATCCTCCGCATATAGGTCTCGTATGACTTCAAAGCCAATTACTTGGTTCTGTAGCGTTTGTAGAAGGACATACCGTCTACTAAGCGCATCGGCCACCTGATTATGATGCCCTGCCTTGTGTTTCAAAACATAATGGAATGCCGATAAATATTCAGACCACTTAGCGTGCCTAGCCTTGAGTTTGTTCTGATGGCAGAGGTAACGTAGAGCTTCATGATCAGAAAAAAGCACGAATTCATTGGATAGCAAATAGTGGCTCCAATGCTGCAGGGCTCTAACTATAGCGTAGAACTCCTTGTCGTATGTAGAATACTTGCGCCTTGCATCACTTAACTTTTCACTAAAATAAGCTATCGAATGGCCCCCTTGAGTTAGGACCGCACCAATGCCTACATTCGAGGCATCACATTCGACCTCAAAGGTTTGGTCGAAATCAGGTAAGCTTAGTGTGGGGGTAGAAGACAATCTCTATTTCAAGTCATCAAAGCTTGCCTGTGCTGCCGGGTTCCATTCAAATTGATTAGCTCAGAGAATTTTCGTCATCGGGGCCGCAATTGTACTGAAATCCTTGATGAATCTCCTGTAGAAAGATGCTAGACCATGAAAACGGCGAATGTCCGTAAAAGACTGGGGAACGGGCCAGCTGCGGACGGCCTCAACCTTAGCAAGATCAACCTTCAGCCCTTCAGCAGATAGTTGATAGCCTAGGAATGTAATCTGAGGAGCAGCAAATTGACATTTCTCAAGATTAATGAACAGCTGTTGCTCCAAGAAGAGCTCGAGAACACGTCGAAGATGGACGCGATGCTCTTGGAGATCAGCACTATAAACAAGAACATCATCAAAGTAGGCAATTACAAACTTATATAGAAAGGGTTGTAGGATATGATTCATTAAACGCATGAACGTGCTTGGAGCGTTGGTTAAACAAATGACATGACCAACCACTCGTACAACCCGTCATGTGTTTTGAACGCAGTTTTCCACTCGTCACCAGGCCTCATGCGTATTTGGTGGTATCCACTGCGCAGATCCAGTTTGGAGAAAACGGTAGCACCTTGTAGCTGATCGAAGATATCATCTATGCGAGGGATAGGAAATCTATATTTAACTGTAATTTTATTGACAGCTCGGCTGTCTATGCATATTCTATAGGATCCATCCCGTTTTGGAACCAATAAGGCGGGTACAGCGCAGGGGCTGACACTATGCCTTATAAATCCTTTGTTCAGTAATTCTTCTACCTGTCGCTTGAGCTCAGCTTGTTCTTCGGGCCGTAGTCGGTAAGCAGGGCGATTGGGAATGACAGAACCAGGAACAAACTCCACAGCATGCTGAATTTGTCTTTCCGGAGGTAACCTGGATGGTAGAACACTGGACAGGACATCAGGATACTCTTCCAGGATATCTCGAACTACTGTAGCCTCATTGGTCTGAGCTTCATTGGTGGCTAAGATCACCAATGCAAACCCAATTGCAGCTTCCCTGAAAGCCTTCAAAAACAATGATCGAGTTAACAGTTGCGGACTGGCTTTTACTGCTGGAGTCTCCTGTAGTGGTACCAATATAATCCGTTGATTTTGATGCTTAAACGAATATGTATTTGCTTCCCCGTCATGAACAGTATTCTTGTCAAATTGCCATGGACGGCCTAACAGAAGATGGAAAGAATCCATGGGAACTACATCACACCACACTTGCTCCGCATAATTGCCGATGGAGAAATTTACGAGACAACGCTTCGATACCCGAACTTCATTTTCTTTTTTTATCCATGACAATGCGTAACGTTTAGGGTGGTCGACTGTGGGCAACTCAAGCTTGTTGACCATGGTCGTAGACACCACGTTTTCACAACTTCCACTATCAATGATCATTTGACAAACTTTCCCGCCAACTGTGCACCGTGTTTGAAAAATACTATGGCGCTGACATGAATCTTCCTTATGGGAATTAAGTAGTCTCCTGAGAACAAGTAAACTCCCTTCATCTGCGGGAATCACAGTGGTCTCCGTCACCATATTGTTCTCCGACTCGTGATCTATCATATCTTGCTCAGTATCAGCTTCTTCAATTATTGTAACAATCCTTCGGTTCGGACATCCAGAGGCAATGTGGCCAAATCCTTGGCACTTGAAGCACTTTCTTGGAGGTAACCCTGTGGTTCCAGGCATTTTCAATGCTCCATTAGCAGACGGAGTAGTCTCTTTGTTCAAAGGATTCACCCCGGTAGTCCTTCCCTCAACTTTCTTGACTTGGCTTCGATCAGATCCTTCCTCCTGAGCAGGGGTTTTACCACGAATCCACCTGTTGGGTCGCTGTTGTTTTTCCACCTTAAAAGACAAATCAAACACATCTTGTAGCGTCCAATATGGTTGCAATTGAACCACATTGGCAATCGACGGTTGTAATCCTTCCAAGAACAGGGCAATACTATTTTCCTCTGGTTCAGCTAGCTCACATTGGAGGGACAATTGTTCGAATTCCGCAATATATTCTTCAACAGTGAGCTGATTTTGTTGTAAGCGGTGGAGTTTCAAGAACAACTCCTGACGATATCTTTCCGGCAGATACTTCCGCTTAAGTTCTTTCTTCATCTTTATCCATGTCACAATCTTGCTTTTTCCCTCCCGGTCTCGATTTCGTTTCAAATTTTCCCACCATAGGGAAGCATTCTTCTTTAATTTGATGGCGACAAGCTTGACAACTCTCTCTGAAGGAATTTCTTTAAAATCAATGATTCGGTCTACAGTGTGCAGCCAATTCACAAACTCATCCGGATCCAATCTACCATCGAATTCGGGTAACTCCACCTTAACCCCACTGTCATCACGCGGACGTCTCGCACGTCCTAGCACAGGTCGTCTGTCCTCATCTTCACTGTGAAGGTCTTGATGAAACGGGTTAACCTCCTCTTCCTCTTCTTGAACATCCTCTGTTTCTTGATGTTCAAATCTTGCTAGTCGTTGCTGCAGCTGCTGGATTTCCCTTTGTAAATCCTCAATGATTACGTCTCTCGTCGGTCTTTGCGAGTTCCGTCGAGGCGGAGGCGGCATCTTCGCCGGCTCTGATACCAAATGACACCGTTCAAGAACATGAACAATAGAACGGATGATTGTCTGAATGGAGCGGAGCTCGATCTTCAGGAATTCGCGTTGAGTAGCGATATTAGGCCCGTCGTCGGAGATCAATCACCACCGGTGAGGCGAACCGGCTACAGAATCTCCTCCACCACCTGTAAGGAAACAGGATACAGAACAAGTATTGTCTCGACAGTAAGTCAGAGAAATAGTTTCAAAATTTATCTAAATCTGCTTTAGCTATCGTCCGGAGTGTTTTTATAATAACACCCGGGAAAGAACAAGAATACAATTCAAAAGAAGCTATACAGCCGGCAATATCAACAGCTACAGAATAGAGAAGAAAAACAAAACAAGAATACAACGGTATCAGACTATTTATAAGACACTCCTGTGTCACAACTATATGCATGTATGCTTTTGATTTAGTATTAGAAGTTAACTCATTCATAAATGAATGGACAAGGTCCATGTATCCATTCTAGATGGCCTATAAAGATTTATAGTAGTAGTGTTTGTCATTGAATTCTATGGATCAACATGGGCTTCACCACAAAGATAGGATAGTGTGAGTAGTTCAAACGAATCATTGATTTAGCCATGTTTCATTTATTTTAGTTAGGTGATAGCTCTTAGGGAGCGACCTTGGATTTGAGTAATGTGATAGTGAAAAGGAAAACCAAATGTTTTCATTAATAATGCATGATCAAAGCTTGATTATAACTCAAACTTAATAAGAAAACTAATAAATAAATTAATTTATGATAGTGAAATTAGAATGATGTTAAGCACTTTGAATGAGCATCAATTGAGATATTTAAGCCCCATTACGCTCAATGTGGCAAAATCAATATTAAACTGAAGAAAGGCTTTTCTCTTTCCTGTGGACTTGTTCTAAGAAAGTTCATTTTTAAACAATTTTTCATGCCTCCATGTGTTAGATATTCTTTTATTTTATTAAATGATTTTGTCACATCAAAAATAGTAGTGATTATATGTTAATTTGAACATGTCAGATGAAGATTTCTCCTCTATTAAATTTAGAGCTACTAATTTCTCATTGGAGGGGTTCTTACAGCTTTTTTTTATGAGAAAAGTCATAAAAAGTTAATAAAAAATAATTAATAAGTTCCAACTGACCAACCTACTTGACTTTCATAAATAATTATTTACTGGTTCTTCATTCTTCGGCATTCTTCAGATTATGGCTTGGTATTCGCCATTTGGTTCCTTTCAGTTTTCGCCCCTATGGCAACCGGCTCGTTCCTGGAAGGCCTTCGTGGCAAATTGGGCTAATTTGAATTTGATCATGCCGGCCTTGAGGCCTTTTTTTGGTTGTTTTTCTCTTTGCTGGGGTTTTGTTTTTTACTTATTTTTATTTCCCTATAAGTTTTATTTTTTTTTTCACCTAACTTTTCTCCATTAATATACGGGCTTTGCCCAAATTTTCAAAAAAAAAAAAAAAAAAAAACAGTTGGTTAAGCAATAAGCATGTCATCATTTTGTGTCTACAAGTTACCATATGATGATCAAAGTCTATATGACCTCAGTCAACCATAGTCTTTACAATATTTCTTTTGTTAGAATCATTAAGAAGAGATCAGTACTTTCTTTGTACTAATGTTTGATTAGTCTCTAAACTAAGAAGAACATAATAACAGTAAAAACCACTTATCATATTATTATACCGTAGAAGTTTTTGAAAAGTCAGTATCATGTTTAAGCAGTAAAGAAGCTCAGCTACCCTCAATTAGTGTCCTTAGAAGCTTCATGAAGAACATGGAAGTTATTAATTTTTGCGAGGTCGTATCTATACTATAATCTGAAGAGAAAGCGACAGGGAAAGATAAGCCATTGAGAAGCTGCTTGCTCTTCTATTCCCATTCTTATCTTTACTATTTTGGTCCTTATTTCTATGATCTTCTATCTCAGTGTTTCAAGCTAGTTCTCTTCTTTGCCCTGCTTCTTTTTATGAGGAGATTTCCTGATTTGCTTGAAATGCTCTGTGTTATTTGATGCATTTGATACATTCTGTGATCTGCTTGGCTTGGCAAGTTCCAGAAATCTTTCTCAGAAATTTGTTTCATTGTTCGATTTGGGTAGGAACTTTTTAATCTTTTTAATAGTTAATTTTATGAAAGTTGCTTCGTTTTATCTTCAGGAAATTCATTCAATGTGTGATTTACTGTAGATTTCCTTTCTCTGTCTCTCTCCCGCTGCTAATATTATTGAAAAAAACCTCTGCATGTTTGCTCCTTGAACTATGACAAACAAAAAAACAAGAGGTTCTCTGTATCTATTCAAGTAGGCAAATTTGTTTTTTAAAATATGATTCTCTAATACTAATTTAACAATTCTCATTTATGTGTTTTGATGTGTTTCCTTCTTTTTTTAGTTAAAAATAACTAGCAACTGAGCCAAGAATCGCATTATTCCTGATTGAAACATGGAGGAGCATTCAAGATCGTATCAGAATTATCTTGCTGCAACAAATCAGAAAAGAACAACAGGGTTAGTTACTATAGATATATATGTATATTTTTTCCTTTAGTACTATTACCAAGTATCAATATCATAGCTCCATCATCTGAAGCACAAATAACTAATTTTTTTCAAATTTACAGACCTGACCAAGAATTCACAGAGCTCCAATGGAAGAATGGAAATGTATTGATGCATAGCTCAACTCCCAGAAGGTGTCCAACCAGCATCACTGAAGTTAAAGAAGATCCAAAACCACTTGGGAATTCAACCCCCCAATCCTCAGCTATGGAAGATGAGATAGCTTCATTGTTCCAATACCCACCTTATGAGTACTTAGAGAAAGAGTTTGGTTGTGATTTCTTATGTGATTTTCCAAATCCACAGACTCTTATTACTACTGATAAATCAAACAAAAGCATCAACAATGAAGGAAATGCAATTCCACGTTTAAATCTTCCTCACAATCAGAACAGATTGTCTCCTCCTAAATCTTATGTTCATGGCTCTGCACAACAATATGTCTGCCCTGAGAACAGTAACGTTATTGATTTCTCTCACTTGTCAAAGCCAGGAAAGATTGGATTGTCAAATAAACTGCAGAAGAAAATTCATTCGGCGGGAGGAGAATCTTCTTCAATGATGACAACAGAATCTAGCATTTGTGGAAGCAACCAAGTTCAGAATTGTGTCAATCTAACTAATAGCTTGAATAACAAAACAACAACCGGTTTGCCTCCGAAAAAATTCAAAAAATGCTTGGAGAGAAGCTTTTTATCAGAAAGGGTAAGGACAGATACGTTTGAAGTGACTGGTACTTCATCATCAGGTGGGTCTGGATTTAGCATTAGAGCAACTCCACAAGAGATGAACAACCAAAGCTATAAAAGAAAAGGAGTAGAAATGGAAGAATCATGTAGCTTGAGTGAGGTGTCAATAGAGCTCTTGCTTTCTCCTCTATTATTATTATTTTCTTAAAATCATAATGGAATTGATACTAATCAAGACTTGCAGGAAGGAGACTACGAATCTGCGGATGGAAAGAAGCCAGTTCAAAGATCCCGTAGAACCCGAGCTGCTGAGGTTCATAATCTATCAGAAAGGGTAAGCACAGATAAGTTTTGAAACATGTAAAATTAAAAAATACACACATGCTCTTACCTATTGAAAAACTTGTAGAAAAGAAGAGACAGAATCAACGAAAAGATGAAAGCATTACAGGACCTCATACCACATTGCACCAAGGTAGAAAATTCAAAATTCTTCACTTTCAATCTATCATTCAAAACTACTTCAGATTTCTATCATTATTCACATAAGCCAATTTCAATGTTGTTATCTATTGCAATGATTCAGTCAGATAAAGCATCAATGTTAGATGAAGCAATTGAATATTTGAAATCACTTCAACAACAAGTTCAGGTGGTGAAATATCAATATTTGATTTATATATCATAGTATTCAATTTCAAAAATCATTTGTGTTCTTTCTCAGTTAATGTGGATGGGAAGCGGCATGGCAACAATGATGTTTCCCAGCATTCAGAATTTTATGGCTCAAATGAGTATGGGGATTGGCAGAGGTCCCATGCCTACATTGAATAATTTGGTTCAATTACCAAGAGTTCCACTAGTAAATCAACCTATGCCCTCAGTTGTAGCTGCAAATCAAATGCCAATGTGTCCACAACCCTTCAGCCATTTGAGGTTTCCAAATCAAATGAACAATTCTCAGATGCCTGAATCATTTCCCCCACACCTTGGCTTCCATCATTTACAGCCACCCCCACAGGTTTCTACTTTTCCTTATTATTTTGCTGCATTTCTTTAATTATTCTGTGTGCGGAGTCCGGACGTCATCCAGAGAACAATAGAAATGCACCATGTCATCCCAAAGGTGTATCACGCTCGGTATCGAGCTGTACAGAGCGCCAATATCGTTCGGTACCAAACGCTACTGGACGGTTCTCCCGTCCGGTGTCCGCACAGAATAATCTCTCGTGGTGTGGAGAGCATGGTTAATTTACTTTTGTTACAGGCAATGAATTTATATACATATGGATCCCATTTAGCGCAGCAGAATCAGATGGGAGCAATAAATAGAAGCAGTAACTTGCCGACTGATGGATTACCTCCTGATAACTTTCAAAATGGCAAATAGGTGACAATGTGAACTTTTCTTCTTCTTTTTTTTTTAGCTTTCAGATTTAGATTGGCAGTTTTCAAATTGCTACTTTTCTACCCATTAATGTATTGAAATGGAAATAAACTTTTGCACTGTCTGCATGCAAATTGTTATATTTCTGCTGAATGAAAAAAAAAATTTCTTCTTCTATTTTCTATTTTAATTTTTATATATCTTTTCAATTGCTTAAGTGAATGAAATCACATAGAGAAGGAAGCAGAGCTGAATATAATACAATGCTTTTTTTTTTAATTTTTTAATATAATGCCATGCATTGTTCTCTATGGTTTTTTATTTTTAATGCGAATCAAAAATAGTTTTTATCATTATTATTTTAGCTTTTCTCAATATTTGTTTTGCTGTATTGTACTGAATTTAATTGAATTCATCAGGATTTTTTTTAATTGCTAGAAATATAACAAAATAAATAAAAATATATTTTGAGTGTCCAGTCTTGATGTGAAATGGCAGACCAGCAAGATTGTTCACATTCATGAACGCATTCAATTAATAAAAATAATTCAGCTTTAATGATGTGATGTATTCTTCCACTATTTTGACTCTTCTGAGATAAATTAAAATAATGTTGTCCTTAGATATGTAGGGCTTAGAGTAACGAGAAGGAAAATGAATATTTTAATAAAAAATATTTTTAAATAATTTAATTGAATAAATATCACAGTTGTCAGATTCCAAATTCTGAATAAGAAAATAAAAATTCATATTAGGTGATTAATAGCTAATATAAAACTTATAACTAATTATGATAAGAGTACTTTAATATATTATGAAAAGGTTTGATATTGTTGTTATTATAATTTGATTGATGAAAAATTAACAAATTATTTTTAACAAGAAAGGGCATATCAATTTTTTATATGAGAAAGAGAATGTTTTTATTTTTATTTTTAAAAAATTAATAATAAAAATGAATTTGTTAATAATTTTAAATAAATATGATAAACTATTGATTACATTGAAATTAAACATTTAATAATATGAAAGGAATAACCTATCTCATCTTATTCAAATTTTAAATTTTTGTCTAAATTTTTTTTCATTGACAAATAAATACAAATTATTTCAGATAAAATAATTTCAAAAAATATTTCAGATATAAACTTATAAATAAAATATTTTTACATTCCTATTGATTCTTCCAAGCCAAATGCACCCACAAAGAGGAGTGCGTTAACGTTTCCTCAGCAAATATAGAAGTATTTCTTACATGCATGGTAGCAATTGGGCCATCTTTGAGTAGGGGTGTCAATATTTGACACGACACGAAAACCCGACTCGGATCCGACCCGAAAAATTCGGGTTGGGCCTGACCCGATTTCAAAATGGGCCAGGTTCGGGTTCCCGTATTTGACCCGTTTGAAAAAATAGGTCGGATTCGGGTTGCTGGGTCAACCCGAAAACCCGTTTAATTTAAAAAATTTGGATTCCCGCCCGCTGCCCGGCCCCCGCCCGCGTCCCGCGCTGTTGCTGACCCGTTAATGTTTCCTCAGCAAATATAGAAGTATTTCTTACATGCATGGTACCAATTGGGCCATCTTTGAGCACGAGAGGAGTAGAAATACTAAGTAGTGTAACAATTATCTTTGTACCTTCCATTTTTAACATGAGAGAATATCACAAACATATAAATGTTAAGCTTAAGAGGGCATTGAGAAATGAAATGGCTTCAGCGCCTAAGAAGAAATGAAGATATCTAAGATTCATGATGGTGGAAAGATGAGCCAGAGCATCAATAATTTGATTGACAGTGGATGGACAGTTATATGTGATCAATGGATAATCTACATAAACAAAATATTTTGTTCATGTTGATGCACAATAATGGATTCAATGTGGAGATGATAAATCTCAAAAATAAAATAAAGATTTGAGCTCAATGAACCAAGTACATAGTTCTTGTTTAAAAACATTGAGGGAATTATGAAGTTGACATACATGTTGTGATAGCAAAAAAAAAATAGAGATGGCCACAAATGAATGTATTGTTTGTTGTGCAAACAATCACACGACGAAAATAATAAATCACACAACACAAACACAAAAATACAATGATTTAAGTGGTTAGACGAAAATACCTACAGCCGCGGGAAGGGGATGATGATTTCACTAAATTGGGGGAATATACATGAATTACAATGAGATCTATATTCCTCTCATACACTCAACAGTAGCCCCCATGACTTTATTTATAGATTTGAGTCAAAGTAAATTAGGAAAAAGTTTTCTAATCAAGTCCCTAATTAATGTAATAATTAGATCCCTTAAGTAATGCATCAATCAATTCTCTAATCAAATCAACTTAATTAAGGAAATAATTTATTCCCTAATCAATTACAATAATGAGTCATTAAAACTTTACAAATAAAGCTTTATTATGATTTGGAAATAAATCCAAATCAATAATCTCCACCTCATCTTTCACTTTTGAAAATGAAAGATGACAAATCAGACTTCAATATCATGACGACTGCACCCTGATGGTTGCCAATCAAGCCGAGTGTATTTCTTCAAACAAGTGGAAAATCAGTCATGAGTCTTGCACCACTATCATAGTGATCGCCTCTCTTAGCATGCATCAACTATACCCTTCAAATACCTCAGGATATTCTTCACAGCTTGCCAATGACTCCTTCCTTGATCATGTATGAACCTGCTCACAATGCCAAATGCTTGTGCAATATCTGGATTATGCTACTCCAAAATGAGACAAAACTGCGTTACAAGTGCCTAGTGAACACAGGTCGATGGATTCTTAACCACTGGAGAGAACACCTCATCATAAGCAATCCCTTCCCGTTATACAAAGCCTTTTGCCACCAACCTAGCCTTGTATTGCACATCAGTTTCATGAGATCCTTCCTTCTTTGCACGCATCCATTTGTACCCAATGACTTTTCTTCTTCGAGGAAGCATTAGCAACCTCCAAGTAGCATTCTTCTGAAGAGACTCCATCTCTTCTTTTATAGCCCTCTTCCAAAGATCACCATCGGGACTGTCCACAGTTTTTTATAGTGACTGGGAACTTCAGCCTTCGTGGTTGAAAGTACAAATACAATGTGATCTCTCAACCAAGTTAATTTTGGGACATTCTAGCGCCTGAACCTGTTCTTCCCAGTAAATTTTTGAGGAGGAATCTCATCCTCAACATCATCTTCTACCTCATGATCTACAACTGTATCAAGTACATGGGTAGAAATGATCTACCTCTATGGAGCCAATGGAGTTACATCAAACTCCAACTTTTGCAATGTATCTACAGTCCCAATAGAACTCTCCACATGCTTCGAGTCATGGGGTTTCAACATGCTCTCCTCATCAAAAGTAATATCCATCCTAATGATAATATTCTTCTCTACCAGATCATAGAGTTTAAAGCCCTTGACTCCACACCTGAAGCCAATAAAGATCACCTTATTTGCCCTTACTTCTAGTTTATCGTTCGGAACATGATAATAAGTTGAACACCCAAACACTCTTAAGTGCTCATAATCTCTAGTAGGATGTCCAAACCACATCTCCTTTGGGGTTTTATTTTTAATAGCTATAGAAGGCAGATGATTCACTAAGTAATAGACATTGTCTATTACTTCAGCCCAATAGACTGTATCCAACCATGCCAATACTAGACAACATAAACCAAACTTTCTCCACCAAAGTTCGGTATATCTTCTCTACCACTTCGTTCTGCTGTAGTGTCTCTCTAACAGTGAAGTGATGCTATATCCCATATCTCTAGCATTCCTATAAGAATGCATTTGAAGTATTTTGCTTTTATTGTCTGGTCTGATACACCGAATCCTTTTGCCAATTTGAGTCTCAATCCATTTCTTCCAAATTTTAAAGATCTATAGTACTTCGCTGTTGTGCCTCAAATATATATGGAGTAATCATTAATAAAAGAGACAAAGTATTTCCGCCCATCGAATGATACTATCTTAGTTGGGACCTAAACATTTGTGTGAACATACTCCAAGATTCCATTTATATTGTGGATGGCATTACAAAAGGATACACGTGTCTTCTTGCCAAACACATAATATTCATAAAAAATGAGCTTGTAGGTGTTTGCTCCTTTAATCAATCCTTGCTTCACCAAAGTCATAAGAAAAGCCTCTCCGGCATGAGCTAGTCGTATATGCCATAATTCAGTGGCATCAGAAGAATCATCAGCAATATCAGCCGATTCAATCACGGTTCTTCACTAAATATAGTAAAGGTTGTGGCGATGAACTCCTTTCAAAAAAAACCAAGCTCTATAATATATCTTCATAACTCCTACCTCAATGACTACCATGAAGCCCTTGATCTCTAAAACCCCAACAAACAACAAATTCTTCATAATATCAAGAACATGTTTCACATAAATCAACATTCTCACAGTACCATAATGCATTTTGATGAAGATACTCCCTACAACAACTCTATGAGAAACCTAATCATTTCCCATGGTTATAACACCACTGTCAAGCTCCTTATAGGTATAGAACCACTCTCTTGTGGGATAAACATGATATGTAGCACCAATATTCAAAATCCATCTTGAATCATCTAAATACAAACTCTGAAAAACTACATATAATGATACATCTGAATCTTCATTTTGTTCTTTCATGCTAAAGTTAGCCTTAGTGGAAACTCCATTTCCCTTCTCCTTCAGCTTCAGGCAATCTTTCTTCTAATGTATAGTCTCCAAATATAAAGCACATTGATTCTTCCCAAGACTATGCCCACTAGACTTTCCCCGCTTTCTGCTACCACCCCTTTTATTCTTCTATTTCTCATATCTTTCTTGTTGGAGTGTGAGAGCATCAGCTAAATTTATCTTTGCAAACTCCTTGTCCTAACATCGAAACTCTTGATTCAGTAATACATTAGTCACATCATCATAATTCAATAGCTCCATCCTATGAATGAGCATCATCGTGAAATTTCCATACTCACCCGAGATTGAATTCAATAGAAGGAGCGCATTGTCTTCATAACAAATTCAAAAGATCTGTCAAAAGCTTTATGAAGCCATTCAAATGCTCATCAATTATAATCTCATGTCTCATCTGAAACCTATAAAGCCACTGTTTCATATGGGGATGATTCTCTACACTCTTCATTAGATACTTGTGTTCCAAAATCTTCCACAGCTTCACAGCAGAATTAAACCTCCATCACCCCATACTTGATCTCCTTAAATAGGCAATTTTTTATCAAGCCACAATAACTCTGGTTCATCTTGAGCCAATCTCTCTCTAAAATCTCCTTAGGACGTTCATCGCTCTCCAAAACTTTCTCCAAATTCAAAGAACATAGGGCATCCATCACCCCATATCGGCACATGCCAAAGTTCCCGTTGCCTTCAAATTTCGTCACATCAATTTTGACGGGATGTGTAATCACCTGATGAATCAACGCCTTCTTCACCGACAAAGTGGATGTATCCATGGTTCCACTGGATTTCATTTCCACCAAATCGTAACTTCCTTATGACATTGGAATTGCACAAATCCGGCTAAGCAATAATCCAAAAAAATCAACAACCTTTAGTTGCTTGATATGACTAGATCACGTCTTAGAGATTTACTCTCGTTTTTCAATAAATTGCCAAAAATTCCACTGAAATCCAACTCCGATACCACTTGTTGTGCAAACAATCACACAGTGGAAACAATAAATCACACAACACAAATACAATAAACATGACAATTTACATGGTTCGATAAAGATGCCTAAGTCCATGGGGAGAGAATGATGATTTCACTAAATTTGAGAAACAAACAGGAATTACAATGTGCTCTCTCTTTGTCTCATGTACTCAAAAGCAACTTCCAGGACTCTATTTATAGATTTGAGCCAAAGTAAATTAGAAAAAAGCTTAATAATTTAATCCTAATTAAATTCCTAATTTATATAATAATTAGACCCTCTAATTAATGCATCAATCAAATCAACTTAATTAAATAAATAATATATTCCCTAATCTATTACAATAATGAGCATTTAAAGCTTTATAAATAAATATTTATTTTGATTTGAAAATAAATCCAAATCAACATTATTAACATCTAATTTGGAAACATATCATTTTCTATAGATATTGATGCTCATAAACATTCAAATATTTATAAATTTGATGGCCTAGTCAAATGTTTCAATATAGTCATTTGATGGGTGTTGAAAACTTTTCATGATAAGATATGCATGCTTTGTACTGATTAATGTGATTTTCATTAAGATGTTTGATTCAAAACACCTAGTGGCATCCAATAATGATGAGATTAGAGTGGAATAATACCCTAAATGCTATTTTGAAGGAAGACATTTATCTTAGTGTAAATGACATATCTCTAGTTAGGGTTTTAAGGGCTCATTGAGTCATGGTGGTTGTATGAGTAGGCTATGAGAGATATCTTATAATAAGATAGGAGAGTTTTGTGAGAGGTTTATGTTATATGTGGAATTTGATTGTGTTGATCAATCATGTTGTTATGTTGTCTCAGACCTCAAGTTTGTTGTGCTTGCTGGGGGGTGCGGGGGTTTACCCCTTGCTTTGGTTGGGGTGCTTTGCACATGATTTTTTTTTTCGTACAACACCCTGGCGCTGTGTTCCCGAGCACCCCATCGTTGAACAACAAAGAGTAGAGCACCACAACGGTCTAGATGCAACGCCACAATAGATCAAGACAAAGGTTCAAGCACCGCAACACTCCAAATTGGCGTCGTAGCATTGCGAGATGGACTGGATGGTTTTATTTCTCGTTTTTTCTGAAGGGTTTCGTCCATTGGAGTTCTTTACTTGGCTTGCTCTTGAATTTTGAATAATTAGACATAGAGAAAGGTGCATGTGAGAAGAGAAACAAGAGAGTGAGAGAGAAGAGATATGTGTACTTATTTCTCCCAATTTCATAGTGGATTTATTGCTGTGGTATAGCTCCATGATTTTTTTTCCTTATTTTTGGTTTTTTTCATATTAAATCTTGGTGTCTTTTACTTTCTTGTTTGTTTCGTCATTGTGGTGTTTGCTCCTCATCCCCAACAGCTTAACAATGTTAATTTTGGATCTTCTAATCATGTGATAAGATTTAGATGACTCATCATAATTTTGTTCGATAGAATTTGAGTGTCTAGAAAAATTCAATGAAAATTTTATTGATTGAATTTTCATCATAAGTTATCAAAAATAATCTCTTTTCCATAGAGAATACATGTTCACAATTGATTTGCTTTTATTCTAATGAGTTCATCCCTTCCATCAATTTTTTTACTATTTTATAAAATAACTGTAGAGAAAGTAATTTTTTGAAACCGTTATAAAAAGCAACGCCTTTTGTACAATTTATTTGGAAAAAAAAAAAAGCAATGGTTAAAAAAAATTATGGCTGCGATCTAAAAAGTAAAGCCTTAGGTTTCATTTGGGATAGCTTCCTTATCACTTTTTAAAATAATTTTTTAGTACAAAATTTCTATTTCAAAAAAAAAAATCTACTAAAAAAATGTTTTAAAAAGTAATAAAAAAAGCTGTCCTAAACAAAACCTTAATTAATCACAATGGCGATGAGGAGGATCTACTCGTTACAGTGAAACAGTTTTGATACCACAGTAGCCTTTGGTAAAGTTGAAATTGTATTGCTTGTACGCGTTTGTAAGACATTTATAGACAAGATTGCAAGCCCAAGAGTGGCTAGTAACAGAAATGGAAACGTCAGAAGTTGGCAACAGAAAATGAAATCCTATATGCTCATGATTACAAGATAGTATTTATCATAACAGCTTGTATTCAGAATCATTTACTTTGACTGAGAAGATATTTCCTTAATGAGAGATAAATCAAAGAAAATCAATGCCGAGTCTAATCTATCGAAGGCCGAACACATTCATCTCAAAAACATAAGTCCAAACGTGAAGTCCAATTATTTATATTTCTTTATCAACATAAATTGAAAGCTTCAAGGGGCACATACCCACCCTGAAAATAGAAATATATTCAGTAGAGAGGGCTTTTTTGGAATTTTGCCCCCACTCTAAGAACTTTTTTACCCTCAATTTATTAATCGTGACCATCCCGCCTCCCATCGTTCGCAGAATCACAGTCGAAGGCTCGAAGCCCTCTCGTTCCATCGTTCGCAACTCGCAAGATCAGATCGCCTTCGCAATCGCCAGCCTTCGCATTTGCAAATCGCAAGAGTTTGCCCACCCTAAAAAAATGGTCTGGATCCACCCCTAAAAAGACATAAAAAATATTCATGATCTTAGATAATTTGATATTGCATGAAGATTACCAACCACTTAGTGCCCTTTCAATTAAAGACAACTACGAATTGAAAAAACATATTTGACAAGTATAAAAATTGCAGCTTCAATTTTCTGGAGAAAAACATCACAGTTCAGAGTCCAAACCTATGCTCATTCAGCTTTTAACAGAGCATGCTACCTGGTTAATGGAAAAATTATTACGCGCGGTGTCCGAACGCGTTCGGAGGCCAATCCGAATGTATCATGTCACACAATATACAGTGCATTGGATGACGTGGCGTGTCAGAATTGACCTCCGGACACATTCGGACACTGCACAGAATAATCTTTCTGGTTAATGATGTACAGTGACCAGCCAATCAAGATAAAAAAAAACGAGATATTCAGTGAACTTTCCAACCTCAAATTATTAACTTAGATTCCCAGTCTTATCATTTCCTACAGAGAAAAGAAAGGGCCCCAAAAGATATATTAGTATATGCATTTATGCTTGATACTGTACAAAGCTTTCTGGTTAGTATTTGATGTCCGGTGGGTCATGACAGCTAGGGATGTCTCAATGGCAGTGCCTGCTAGCCAAGAGCATCCCTGCTAAGATTGTTTACGGGTCCCAAGAGAATCCAGCCACATATAACTTGGTAACAAAATCAACTCACTAAGAGCCAGCCACACATTTGCAGGGTTGATGACAGCTCCCTTCCCTTTGTTTCCTTCCTTGATGTGGAAGCTTGAAACAGCCCGAGAGCTTCTGTAGGCCCCTTGTCTCAGACTGGTACAGTTCATTTACTATGAACACCTCATAAGTCTACACCTATATTGTAGCTCTCCTAGTGCCCATTAATGGGGGCAATGGACCTTTCTTTGTTATTTACAGAGGTGGGTAAGCCGCAAGGCTTTGATAGTTTATCCCATTGAGTTAGGTGATGAAGTAGAATAAGAGATATAATTACATAAAATGATGCAGGGAATAAAGCCAATTAAAATAGGGAAGGCAGATCGGACAAATGAGCAGATGATGAAGCTATCCTTAGTTTAAAGAGTGAATGCCAAAGCCATATGTAATAGGACAAGCAATGTGATCATTTAGACATTGAATCTGCACAGGACAATCTTTTTTTTTGGGACATTTAGGCCATTTAAGGCAAACTCACACACACAACGCATACACATGGACTCGAACCTTGGACCCCTTAGTTGGAAGCCTAAGCTCTCAACCAATAGGCCAAGGGGAGTTGTGTCACAGGACAATCTTTCAGTTTTATCTAATAATTTGGCTCTCCAAAAGACTCTTGGTTTTGCCAAGAGAGAATTGAATGAGGGAAATTTTGAAATAAACTTTGAGAAATTTTGTGCAAGTGATTCTAAGCATTCTAATAGCCTCAAAATGTTTTATTTATAGTCCTACAGGTAGTATCAAAATACTTCCCTATGACTCGAAAAGAATTCATAAGAAGAAATTTAACAAAAAATAATTTTCATGCAAAGAGAATTTTAGCCCATGCATAGCAGATTACGAGTTTACAAAGACTGCTTGAGTAGTTTATGGTGACCCACAAACTTAACAAAGGCCTATAGAATTTTATTGTTGGCCCACAAATGCTCGAGAGAGATATACATGGTTGGTCATCCCAAGACACGGTAAGCATGATTATAGTAACCCATTAATCTATTTGTGGCGACCCTTTAAATAAATTAGTTGTATAATTTGATTTGAAGGGATTTATATTCTTCTAACTCATTTTATTAACCTAACAACTATGGGCAGGATAAAAAATAGAGTGATAACTTAATTCAAATAATATTTTAACAATTATGATACAAAATATTTTATTTAATTTATGCTATCATTTCATCAAACGGAGGCCTTCCGATGACCCGGTTAGGAAAGTTGAGGTATTAAATTTGACTTATGTTAACAAAGGTAGAGGTAGACCTAAAAGACTTGGTTAGAAAATATTAGAAATGATCTTTCTTTATTAGATTTAAATGAGAATTTGACTTTTAACGGGACACAATGGCGAAAAAAGATTTATATAGCTGACCCCTCGTAGTGGAGAAAAAGGCTTGATGTTATTGTTGTTCATAAACGATGGACTTTTAGATATTACAAGAGATAACACCAACAATGTAAAAGACTCAAATATTAATAGATTTAGTCATTTCTCAATGTTCTCTTGGTCACTAGATAATATCTCTAAGTTACATCAATTCATTTTTCACAACCCTTACATCTAACCAATCCTATAACCACTTAATTAAAATATTAATACATACAATCATATATATAATACATCAAATAGGCTCATCTCAATGACTCATGGGTTTACTAAAATAAGCTTCTTATGTTTTATGATAACCGAATTTAAATGAGAAAGAAAAATGCATTAAAGGCCGAATCCAACAAGCTCATTATATATGTAGAAGTTGGAAAAGGTAAGTTTAGTTTATAACTGCAAAATAGTAATAAATACTATAATGAATGGAAGTATTAGTCATGTTGCCCAGCTACACTATACGCATACATATGACATAATCTTGACAGATATGCCCATTTCAGATGTTAATGCAGATCTAACAAAGCAGAACTTAAGCATTAAGGGTATATTTCCATGATCTTGATCATAATTGAGGCTTAGTAAGTGAAGTCCATGTGCTTCCAGTCTCATTCAATGGTGATTGAGATCCTATCCTATAACTTTCCATTCATTAAGTTGGATGACTGTGTGCTTGTGCAGCAGCAATCAATCTATAGTGTACTTGGACCACTACTGATCCTGAACCACTAGCAAAATCATAGTTCTTAGTCTTATCTAAAAATCCTTCTCATAGTTACCTAATTGGTAAATAAAAAATAAGTTTAACATGGTCGTTGAAGCATGCGCAAACGCCCCTTCTGTTTTAATGTGTTGCAATAACAATGCCTTCGGTATGTCCTTTATGCTTATGGTACTTACAAGTCAATCAAAAGTCAAAATTAATCATGCCATTATTCTAATTCACAGAGGTGAAAACAAAAATAAGTGAATATTAATCTTGAAATATTTTATAAGTTGGACTAACAAGCATACTTTTCAAGATAAAGAACTATTCCACTGAATATCTAAAATTCATAATTTCTACTGCATATCTAAAATTTGAAATTTCTACGGCATCTCAAACTTAAAAGAAAATTCTATAAGATGGTGGTGAAACCTAAAATGTTTTCTGGTGCAAAATATTGGCCATTAAAAGAGAAGCATAATATTAAATTAAGTGTTGCAGAGATGAGGATGCTTAGGTAGATGAGTGGATTTACTCGTAGCGATGGGATATGAAACGAGCATATACATGAAAATGTTGGAGTAGCTCTAGTAAAAGATAAGATTTAGAGAGAGTCGTCTTAGATGGTTTGGTCACATAAAACTGCGGCCTTCTAATGACCTAGTTAGGAGAGTAGATGTATTAGATTGTTAACCCCTACACATCAAATCACGCTCAAAAAGGGGCAAACCAGCGTGCTTCAACACGAAGCATCACTTGAATGGTCAAACGACCTTCAATTGCCAAACAGACTGCGTCGTTGCAATCAAGACGTCGATTTCACCTAAGAGGGGACCCCTCACAGTCAAATTGGACGAGATCAATCCAAAGGAACAACTGAAACCCGAAATCGACGCTTGACGTCGCCCAAACGACGTCCGACCGCAGAATGTATTTCGCCGTTGCGTTTGGAAAGTCGTCAATATCCAAAAGTGGCTATCAATTTGATCAATTAAAGTCGCGCGATGAGATCAACGAGGATCCCGATGCAACGACGTGCGAATCGAGGAAATTGTCACGCGACATTGCCCAAATGATGTCCAATAACAAAACAAACTTCATCATTGCGATAGTTTGGTTGCATCATGTATGCTTTTTATTCAACCAATCGAATGAACATTTCAGAAAGTAGAATGAAGTGGCATGGTGAACACCAATTGGATGCATTACCTCCAAGTATCAATTGAACTTTGGAGCACCTGACGTGCGTATATGATACAAGTAAATTCATCTGAAGGTAACAACAAAGGAGAGTTGGTGACTTACTTGCGATGGTACAAATCATGGGCATCACTTTATTTTGTGACCCCAACTCAACCTCTTGAAATATACTATCTCAGATCTCCTAGCCAGTGGGGCTAATATAATATCTCAGATCTCCTAGCCAGTGGCTAGTGGTACGATATTTAAATTAATAGTTTTATTTTGACATCTCTAGTTCTTTAAGTCCTCTTTTAATAATTTGTGCACTATCATCAAGAAGGTGAATTACTTTATACATAGACATGGCATCACCAAACCATTTACAGGTGGGCATGGGGAGAATGACAGCTCAATTTAGCTAGCTCTTGATGATATCTTGGAGCTATCAAGCAGAGTGGAGCAATCAACTCATAATATCTAGAATGGGATAGCCTAGAATTATAATTCAAGGTTTAAAATTGCACAATTGGTTACTAAGAGATTTATTATCTGTAAGGCAAGGCATATGCCTCAAAGCATTTTGAGGCGTAAATCTTAAAATTTAAAAATTATGTAAAGTGAAAATAAAGATTAAAATTGATTTTTTAACAACCAAATAATATATTAAAATATGACATTAACTTTCTATTGAACTATGAAATAACAAATTAACGTATATATGAAACAAAAATCGCACAATATATAAAGTGACAAGTGACAAATTGTATAAAATAGAATTGAAATCCAAACATTACAAGAGTAAACACACAAAATATAGGAATTGCATAAAAATACTTGAGTACAAACAAATATATATATATATGGAAAAAAAATTTCAAACAAAATTTGAAGGGTTTTAGAATACGTAGAAAGGAAATAAATTTTTAATGGAGGAGGTGGCGGTGGTCTGCGACTCCTAGGTGATCCCCGACAATGGTTACGACAGAGGCAAGGGATGGTAGGGGGTTGGAGGTAGGGGTGTAAACGAGTCGAGTCGAGCTCGAGTCAATGGGTGTTCGAGCTCAACTCGCGAGTCCAATACCGAGCTCGAACTCAAGTCGAGCTCAACTCGTGATAGTGTAAGGAGCTCATTGAGGCGCTCAATTTCCCGATTTCCCAGTTTCCCGCCCAGATTTTCCGGTTTCCTGCCCGATTTTCATTCCTGTTTTTGTTTTTCCACCCTATTTCCCGCTCGGTTTGGAAGCCTGTTGCTTTGGAAAATACTAAAAGCCTGTATATCTCCTCTAATGTAATTAATGTTGCCGCTTTGTTAGATTATTTAAATTTTATATAATTTTTTTTTGAAATATTCACTGTTTTGTAAGGATTAAAGTTGCAAACGTATTTATATCTTTATTGAAGTTGTAGCATTTTTATTTTGGAATAGATGTTAAATTATATATAATTTTTTTGAAACTTTCACTGTTTTAGTAATGATTAAATTTTATGTAATTTTTATTTGAAATATTAATAATAAATTTGACTATTTTAAATATTAATTATTAAAAAATATTAAAATACCAATTTGAGCAGGCTCACAAGCACATGAGCTGAGCCTCATCGAGCTCGAACTCGAGCTCGTTTAGTGAATTCGAGCTCGAGCTCGACTCGTGAGCTCGATAAACTTGGCTTGCGAGCCTATAAACGAGTTGAGCTCGAGCCTGCTCGCGAGCCGGCTCGGCTCACTTACGCCCTTAGCTGGAGGTCAAGGCAATCGAGAGAAAGCTACTGTGGCTCAAGGGGTGTGAAGAAACAAATTAAAAGTACGTCACATGAAAATATTTGATTGAGATTAAATTGATTGATCTTTTGCCCTTCTAAAGCTCTAATTTGAGAGAGTGCCAAAAAGGCTGGTTGTTCAATATAAAAACCTAGTCTTTCAATCGATTTGAGTCTGACACAGCCAAAATTTGATACTAGATTTATAAAATTTGTGTTTGATCAGGTCAATTTAAAATGGAAGAGCAAAAGTTGACCAAGAAAATTACAGCAAAAAGATGAAAAAGTTTCTACATGTATCCTGTTTAGCATGCATTGAAGGATCCTCTTAACTTTTCAATGGGTTCTATTTGCAAATGGCTGTAATGAGTTACTCATGTATAATAAGCTACTCTTGTAGTTAGTGAGTAAATCTTGTTTAGCATGAAGTCATGTATCATATAATCTTAAGCATGCTACAAACCAGATGAAAACATAGGCTTGATTTGTGCTTTTATTTGAGTTTTATTAAGTACGATGTGTTATCACTGTCAGCTTATGAATTTGCGTTGTTTATATTGCTTTCAAGAAGAATTGGATGTGTTTCTATATCATGTTGAAGTTGTTTTAAGGGCATACGATGAAATGAACATTGCCTTCCCATTGAATTATTTTAGTGCTTGCTCTTAATTAATATACATCACATCTGCTTCTCTCTAAAACAAATCATAATAGCCCAAGCTTCTCTGGTTCATGGCACTCGAATCAAGTCACAATAAGTGTGCGGTTGTGATGCATCCAACCTAAGATGATATAGTCAAGATGAAACGGTCTATCTGGTCCGCCAATAATGAAAACCACTAAGAATTACAGCACAAAGCAGATTGTAAATATTGTCACACCGTATTTCTTTGAAATTATTACTTTCATATAAAACGAAGAATATGCATACCTTAATCAAGTAGCAATTACAAATAAATCAGAATCTATTTAGGAACAATATGGCATGCACAAATCATTTTACCAAATCTGTCTAGTGATAATAAGACACACAAATAAGATTGCCTAACATAATAGGATGCAACAACTGATATGGAAGTTCAAATATTATTTTTTTAACGTTATAGATGCTCTAACACTAACTCCAACGTCACGCTACCTCAAGACTTTGTACAATAATACCTTTCTTTTAATACTATAAAATGATGTTTCTGATTGATGAAGTTGGCCGCAATAGGATGAAACTGAAGAAATAAGAATAGATAAAACATCAACTTTAAAATTGGAGAGAGTATACCAGCAACCAATTTGTCCTCTACACTTATACATCAGTAAGCTTTAGCAGAGATGACAGCACTTCTTTCATAGTTGGACGATCCTCGGCAGTGAATTTTGTGCACGACAAGGCTAGTTGCAGAACACCAACAGCCTTCTCTTCCTCCACTTTGCCTGAAAGATATATTTCAGGGTCTATTATGCTAAGAGCAGTACAAAATCCATCATCAAGGGCTTTTTCTACAAGCTGATTCAAGGTCAGCGGCACACCATCCTCTGTAATCCTTGTTGGCCTTTTCCTGGTGAAGAACTCCATCATAACTATTCCAAAGCTAAATACATCCACCTCTGTGGTCACCCTTGGCATGTACGCAAACTCTTCAATAGCAAAAGATAATCAATCAGAAATATATAAAAATGAATTTTTGCACTTTGTGTATCTTTACATATTTATGAAGTTATGCATTCAGAACTACTCATAGAAAGGGGATAAAAAAACTACCTGGTGCCATATATCCAATGGTTCCTTGAAATGCTGATGAAGTGGAACTGCTGCTTTGTTCGGGTAAATGAACACCAAGCATGCGAGAAGTCCCGAAGTCACTAACATGTGCTTCCCAGTCTTTATCTAGAAGAATGTTTGAAGGCTTGAGATCACAGTGAACAATGGGGAAGTCATATCCAGAGTGCAAGTATTCTAATCCACTGGCAATCGAAGTACAAACTCTTAACCTTTCATAAAGATTCCATCTACTTCGACATACATCCGGATCATGAATAATGGTTTCCAAATTGCCATTCTCCATGAACTCCAAAGCCAGAGCTTTAAGCCTCCCAGATTCCCAAGCATAACCCAAAACCCTGACTAGATTCCTGTGCTTTAGATGAGTCAAAGTCCTCAATTCAGTAAGAAAACACTTATCAGACTCGACGGGGAACTGCATAAGGTTCAGCTTCTTTACAGCTATAATCTGACCAGTGCCTTCAAGCCTGCCCTTGTAGACAATGCTCAAATTGCTGCTACCAATCACATTTTCACTGCTAAATAACCCAGTAGCTGATTCTAACTCACTTCGAGTGAACTTCTTCAATATAGGAATAAATGAAGCTTCCGATTTAAGATACAAGTCAGATTGTGGGCTTGGATTCTGCTTTTGCCGTCGTTTAAGGACCAGGATAGCCAGCACTACCAAAAAGAGCAGACAGAAAGATGACAATGCGACAACAATGATAAGTCCTTTCTTTGAGAACCTGCGGCTTCTACTCTTGCAGGAAGAGAAATGATTTGAACCACAAAGTGCAGGATTACCTAGCAAGCTGGACACATTTATGCTTTGAAATATCCCTATGTCTGGAATAGGACCTTCAAACCGATTGAATGAAAGGTTAAGATGTTTTAATTTTGTAAGGTTTCCCAAACTCTCAGGTATTCCACCACTTAACCCGTTATGAGAAACATCAAGAGAGGTAAGCTGTTTCAGGGCAGCTATGCTGGGTGGGAGTTCACCACTCAAATTATTGTATGATATATTCAAAGTTGTAAGAAGCTGTAAATATGGGAATAAAGTCACAGGTAATTGTCCAGATAGCATATTTACAGAAAGATCTAGGTATTGTAGATTCTTACAACCTTGGAGTGCTGAAGGAATGCTCCCGTAGAGATTGTTGTTTGAAATATCTATGGATTGAACCATCTCTAATGCACTGAACTCATTTGGTATAGAACCAACAAACATATTGTGTGACAGATTGAGATACATCTGCAAGTTCTTCAAGCCAGCAACCAATGATCCAGAAATAGGACCAGTTAAGAGATTGTGGGACAGGTCCAATGACAGTAGCTGATTTAGATTGGTCATGGATCTTGGTATGGAACCGTTGAGCTTGTTTCCACAGAGATTCAAGTATTGAAGTGACTGGAGATTGGAAATAGAATCTGGAATTCTACCAGAAAATTGATTAAACTGAATCCTCAGGCCATTCAGATTCTTAAGCTCAAAGATTTGCTCAGGAATTGCTCCTTCAAAAGAGTTTGCCTCAAGAGAGAGCCCCTGGAGAGCTGATAATTTTGAAATCTCTGAAGGGATTTGACCTGATAAGTTGTTACCACCTAGTTGCAAATCCAACAACATGCTAAGTTTTCCTAACTCAGGAGGGATGAAACCTGAAAAAGAATTGTAGCCTAAAACCAACTTTCTTAGATTGTTTAGCTTGCCAATAGCAGGGCTCAGAAATCCTGTGAGATTGTTTTCTGAAAGATCCAAAACGGAAAGCTTGGTACAATTGAACAAATCTTCTGGAATAGATCCTGACAATGAACTCCTTCCTAGTGAAAAGAACGTGAGGTTCTCCAACATACCCAAACCTGAAGGTATAACACCAGTAAATCTATTGTAAGTCAGACTTGCATTCACAAGATGGGTGCAGTTGCTGATGCTTGGTGGAATGGGTCCTGTAAATTGATTGGTATGAATGATTAATTTCTCCAGGTTATACAATGATCCGATGTCCAAAGGAAGTGGCCCAGATAAAGAGTTGAAACTGAGAGCCAAATAGAAGAGGTTGGTCAAATTCACAAATGTTTCAGGAATCTCTCCTGTCAATTGATTTTCATGAAGAGTTAGAACTTTAAGTGAACTCAAAGAACCAAGTTCTTCAGGTATTGATCCGGTTAACAAATTTTGAGAAAGTCCGAGAAATACTAAAGATTTGCAAAGAGATAGAGATGCGGGAATTGTGGAAGACAACCAATTGTCATACAACCGCAAAGCTTCTAATTTGACGAGATTTCCAAGTTCATCAGGAATGACACCAGTAAGCTTATTGCTATAGATGTTCAAGAGTGTGAGGTTTGTGCACCGGCCTAGCCCAGCTGGAATTGGCCCCTCAAGTTGGTTCATGAAGAGTTGGAGTATGGATAAATGCGAGAAGTTTCCAATCTCAGGAGGTATAATTCCTGATAAATGATTGTCACTGAGGTCTAGAATTTCCAAACCTTGCAGCCTAACAAATGAAGGAGGGAAGGAACCTACTAAGCCATTGGTGCTAGCCTTGAAGAATTTGAGATTAATCAAATCTCCGATGCAAGAAGGGAGAGAACCAGTGAGATTATTAGTGTCAAAACCCAATCCTTGTAACGACGTGCAGTTGCAGAGACTCTCTGGGATGCTTCCTTCTAAGACATTAGAACCCAGATCCAAGGCCTGAAGATTCTTACAGTTTCCAAGCTGAGCAGGGATTATACCCGAGAGTTGATTATCATAGAAGTCCAACTCGGTAAGTTCTAAGCATTGCCCAAGCTGAGGAGGAATTGATCCAGATAGTTTGTTTGAGCTGATCTCAATGACCTGAAGGGTGGAGATATTGCCAAGAAATGGAGATAAGATACCTTCCAGTTGCATCTGAATTAGAGTGATAGAAACTACAGCAGTTGAGGTAGGATCACAAGAGATTCCAGTCCAATTGCAATGGTGAATAGAGCTTGTCCAATTCGACAAAGCACCAAGAGGATCATCGCTTATTGAAGCTTTAAAAGCCAGTAAGGCCTCGAGTTGAGGGTCGGAGATGGATGAATCGGCAATGAGTAAAGAAGAAAGGAAGAGAATGAGAAGACATTTAAGGGATTTTCCCTGCCATTGAGCTGCCATGAATCTGAAGCAACAATGGACAGGCTTGGCTAATGAGATTGGTTACATCGAAAGATGATTTAAACTGATTTTAAAGAGAAAACGTATGATAGAATGCCGTCAAAATGTTTCAAACAAAAGAATTTTAGAAATCAATGAAGTCAATAAGCCTTACGTCAACCTTATGCAGAAAGCACTCATCAGTCGGAAGAGACAAGATGCCGTCATCCACTTGTTCGGTAAGTTCCATTTCAACTGTGTTGCCGACTTCAAATTTGAATGCGCAAAATCAGGAAACTAACCAGAAGGACTTAGATTAAAAAGATTAAAAACCATAAAACAAAAACTTTTTGTCTGTTCTTCGAAAGCCAAGAATGAGGTCAAAATTTAGGAGTGATTATCAGTGGAAAAATTGTGATGTTAGAAGACTTTAGTATCAGAATTTTAACAAATTTAAAATATCTTTATTACATTAAATTAGCTGCCACCACCTAATCCGTTCATACCTCAGCATCGCAAGAAAGGGACGGGTACGATTGAATCAACTGTTTTTGGGGGAAGAAATCGCCGGCTTTTCTTTCCACACGGTAATGCCAAACGATAAAGAGAAAGGCCAAAAAGTGAGCTTTGACCTTGGGCTGAGCCCGTCAGCGCGTCCACCGGAGAAATAATTCTGTAGGAGCCCGGAGGTGGTGTCTTCACTTCAATGAGATTTTGAATTTTACACGCATTCATATTGTCAGGTTGACCGACCTGATCCAGAAATTATCTGTTTAAATATTAGGGTTTAGGATTAGTGCACTTTTTAAAATGAACTATCGCAAAATTTTCGTACTTTTAGATTTTATCTCAATAAATTTTTCATAACGAGAAATGAGGAAAAGTCGATAAAGATGAAGAATGATTTCGAGAAAAAAACCGATGAAGAAAAGAGAAATTATAATTTTTTTCTATATACTTACGGAATATATAATTTTGAAAAAACGGACACTTGATGGATCTTCCTGTAGTCATTAGTTCATTTTATTTAGAAAATATTTGTAAAATTAGTTTACAAAACTTATACTTGACGAACCCAAAATCCTCACATGCGCCGACAGATATCAATTGCTTAAGGAGCAAGTTTAATATCTAATATGCATAAGGATCGTAGAACATAAAAAATTTAAAAAGGAGCGAAATCGGACCTCAAATCAAAGTTTGCATGATCCTGAATTTAATTTTGAAAATTTATAATTCATATCTGCATCGAAATTCACGTTTGATCGAAGACTCGACGTCTTTCTTAAGTAATTGATTGTAATCTGTTCACCCCTGGAGGTGATTCAGTCCTTTGTAACCAACTCAAAACCTAGTAGAACCATTTTCAACTGGGCTAGGCCTCGTGGTTTTTTCCCTTTCAAGGATTTTCCACGTAAAAAATTATTTGTGTTCTCTGTGTGTGCTAGTTATACATACAACGCTAAGACGTAGGATCAAATATCTATCGCCGCGTAATTTCTAGCCCGCAACAATAGTATAACTTTATTACCATAATAAATATAAATTTAGAATAAAAGGTTCAATAATTTTGTGAAAATTGACATTAATTATATGTCACATAAATACATAATAGCTATAATTGGTCATATAAATATACCCTTAAATTCATTTTAGATTAAAGTAACAATGTTATATTGAAATAGGATTGGTAACTCTTGCTAAAAATCATGTTAAATAAGAAGCTCCTTGACCTTTCTTCCCAACACTTCTTCAGGGCGCTTCTGATCAACGTACAATAAAGTTCCTCAATAATTGTCTCTATTTTTCAAGAAATAATTATATGCATACACCAGACCGTCCGGAGGCGTATCACAGCGCGCCACATCATCCGATACACAGCTACGACACACAACAAACAGGTTACGTGGCCCGTTCTGATTCGTCTCTGGACGGCATCCATTCCCAATAATTTCACCTATTTTTTAATCATTATCTTTATTCAAGATAAGTGATGTTATACAATTGGGTATGTAGGTTTTCCTGTATAATTCGTGCTTTAATCACTAATCTAGAATGACATTAAACATCACATTACTTGCTACAAGAAAATTTGAACCATTTTTTAATCTTTCAAATAAGGTTCAAAGATTGTTCGAGCAAGGTTTAATCATGGTTGGAATAATTTTTTAATAAGGTTCAAGCATAGTTCAAACGTTGTTCTTGATTGTTTTAATGCATGTAATGTTTCTAGAATAGTCTTTGTACACGTATAAATAAGTCTTTGGCCTTGTCCATTTGATATAAGAGAGAAAAATATAATACAATATCCTCTTTCTTCGTCATTCAAAACATCCTCCTTTTCTACTCTGTACAAATATTTTATCTCTAACAAAGCCTAAAGAAGCAGATTAAAAGAGCATGGGGAAGATTGCTATAGTGCATAGCATAAAAACAAGTAAGCTTGAGCTCACTGTATTTCTTAAGCTTACAAGTAGTGTCCCAAAATGGAAAAATTATTAGGACCTCCCACCTGACGTAGAACTACGTCCTCCCAGAGCTAAAATCGCGCTAAAAAATGAGAAATACCGAGCAAATACCGAGCAATACCAAACAATAACGAGGAATATCATCATGTGAAGACCAATGCCGAGTTATACCGAGCTATACCGAGCAATACCGAGCAATACAAAAAAATACCTAGTTTTTCCTAGAAAAAACTCGGTATTTTTTTGTATAACTCGGTATTGCTCGGTATAGCTCTGTATAACTCGGTATTGGTCTTCACATGATGATATTCCTCGTTATTACCAAATAATACATAGTAATACCGAGCAAAAACCGAGTTTTTTGGCGGTGGGAGGACGTAGTTCTACGCCAGGTGGGAGGACCTAATAATTTTTCCCCAAAATGAGATGAAGCTTTTGAATGATTGTGTTAAATGGGTTAAATAATTATAATTAAGTCTAACTAAACCCTCTAAAGCTTGTGATAAATTTGAGTTAGACTTCATTTGTGATAGTTTTTCACTTTTTTGTCGCTATTTTTCTGCTACTTTTAAAAAAATTTTGTATTAAACAACAGTTTTTAAGAAAATAAGAAAACTATTCCAAATGAAACCTTAAGTTCTGTTTGAGTCTATTTTAACTTTTTTAAAAGGTGTTGTAGAAAGCAACAACTTCCTAGAGGAAAAATTTCTTGAAAATAATAAAAAAAGATGAACAAATAAAAATTATGCTTGCGATTTAAAAAGTAAACTAAATAGAAAACTATCATGAACGAAATCTTAGGTTTCGTTTGGGACGGCTTTTTTATTGCTTTCTAAAA